GGGCAAACTTTTTGAGAGGGTGCTCTCTGCCCGCATCGTCCGGCACTTGTGCGAGGTTGGCCCCGATCTGTCGGACGCCCAATTCGGTTTCCGAGAGGGGCGTTCGACGATCGATGCCGTAATGCGCCTTAGGGCCGTGACCGAGGAGGCCGTGAGCTGCGGCGGAGTGGTGTTGGCGGTGTCCTTGGACATCGCCAACGCCTTCAATAGTCTGCCATTCAGCTGCATCAGGGGAGCGCTCCGCTACCACGGAGTGCCGGAGTACCTGAGGCGGCTGGTGGCAGACTATCTTGAGGAGCGAACCGTCATGTACGAGGACCGAGATGGCGTCTTGAGACGCAGGGCCATGTCGTGCGGTGTTCCGCAGGGGTCTGTCCTAGGACCTCTCCTGTGGAACATCGGGTACGACTGGGTCCTACGAGGGCGTCTCCCCCCCGGGCTGAGTGTCATCTGCTACGCGGATGACACTTTAGTCACGGCCCGGGGGGCTAACTTCCAGGAGGCGGCGCGCCTGGCCGCCACGGGAGTTTCCCAGGTGGTCGGGCGCATTGAGGCGTTGGGATTACGGGTGGCCCTGGATAAGACGGAGGCCCTATTATTCCATGGGCCCCGTCGTGGTCCACCCGCCGGCGCCTCAATCGAGGTCGGCTCGGTCCTCGTACCGGTCCGGGCCCAGATGAGGTACCTGGGTCTGGTCCTAGACGGTAGGTGGCTCTTCGACAAGCACTTCCGACAGCTTGGTCCGAAGCTGGTGGACACTGCCTCCGCCCTAGGGCGACTTTTGCCCAATTTGGGCGGGGCCAGTGTTCCCACGAGGCGGCTGTACGCGGGGGTTGTCCGATCCATGGCGCTTTATGGTGCACCGGTGTGGGTGGCGGCTCTGACCGCCCCGAATAGGGCGCGCCTCTGGCGCTCCCAGAGGATATTGGCGGTCAGAGCCATACGCGGATACCGCACGGTGTCCACCGAGGCGGCTTGCGCCTTGGCCGGAACACCCCCGTGGGATTTGGAGGCGGAGGTGCTCGCCGAAGTCTATCGGCGAGTGGCTGACTTCCGGGCGGAGAGCGGATTTCGCTCTCCGCCGGAAGACGTGCGCGAGTGGCGCGAAGCCGCTCGCCGAGCCACCATGGTCACCTAGAAAGAGAGGTTCCTGAGACAGAGCCCGCACCAGGAGCGGGCCGGCGCTGGGAGGGGTCCAGAAGGCGATAACTACCTGGACCCCTCCTAAACTGGAAGCGCAAAGAGGGCACACCGTGTGGTTTAAGTCGGTTCGAGTCCGACACACCGCCCCGCCGAATGAGAACCCCGGCACGGTCCAAGGGGATTTCCACACGTAAAAAAAAAAAAAAAAAAGGATTGTATGGAGGATGGTCAAGAATTTCTACTTTTTCCTGCTTCAAATACTCAATCGTTTGACGAGCGCTGTGTGAGCTTGCGTTGTCGTGGTGCAGGATGATGCGTCGCTTTGAGTTAGATTTTCGACGTTCGGCGATGCCTTGTGGTAAACAAACTGTCTTATACCACTCTGCGTTAACCGTTCTACAATCTTCAAGTGCAATATACAACTATATGCTGTCAATAGTAACATTGAGCAAACCATTTTCAATGATCATGTAGACACAATAACTGACATTAACTTGTTTCGTGTTTGATAATTGCGTATATATATTGCACCAAAATATTGCTGGACTTTTAAATAAATCTGACATTTTAACAGTTCATATTGAAAAGTTCTGGGGGAAACATATAAAATTGGACGTATTATGTGTTACGGAACATTTTATAATGTCGGGACATGAACCGTTATTAAATATACCAAATTTCAAGCTAGCGGCATGTTACTCGAGGGATTCTAAAAAGCGTGGGGGCGCTTGCATACTGGTTAGGAATGGCCATGAATACAAAGAACTAAAACATATTGCAAATCAGTCTTTGCCAGGCGTCATAGAGTGTTGTGCTATAGAACTACGTAAGCTAGACTTGAGCATTATTTGCATTTATCGACCACCCCCTATGTGCAACTTAAATACATTTTATGAAAAGCTCGACTTAATTTTAAAAAAGATAACTAAACCCAAAACTAAAGTAGTGTTATGTGGGGATTTTAACATAGATATCCTGAAAAGAAATAGAACAACCCTTGATTTTGAACTATTTCTTTTGAACTATAATTTACAATTAATAATAAAAGCCCCTACACGCCCAATCAGCAACAGTTCTTTAAACAATTTTGCACATAATTTAAAACAAAAATGCCTGAGTCAAAATATAGACTTGGGTTTATCGGACCATACAGCTCAGTTGTTTAAGTTTGAGGTTAATAAGACGTATCTATTAAGCCAGTGGCGTACTGAAAAACGCTATATATCGGAAGAAAATCTCTTTAAATTTAAAAATTACTTGCAAAGCTTATCTTTCTCACAAGTATACGAAACCGATAATCCAGATAACGCTTACGATAATTTCTTAGAATTGTTTTTACTGCTGTATGATTTGTGTTTTCCTTTCAAGTTCGTTACAGTAAAAGGTAAAAAAAATGTTAAATGGATATCAAAAGGTATACGATTATGTAGTAAAAAACAACGAAATTTGCTATGGAAATATCGCCTATCACCATCAACTGAGAATATAAAAAAATTCAGAACATATACAACAATTTTTTTAAAAGTAGTTAAATTAACACAAAAGGCCCGAAGTAATTACTACATATCAAACTCGAAAAATAAATCAAAAGCTTCGTGGCACGTTATTAATCAGCATAAAAATACACCAGAACCCATCTTACAGATACAGCTATCAGATAAAATAATAAAAGACCCGACAGAAATTGCTAATACATTCAACAACTACTTCATTGACCATATCACATCTGGTTCAAGGACTATTACATCAAAAAATACAGTTTTGGGTCCGAAAACCAATCATTATTCTCTATTCATGGCTCCAGTGGTACAGCAAGATATAATACGATTAATAAAATCTTTAAAAACAAAAACAGCACTGGCTACGATGGGATATCAACAAGAGTTGTTAAATATGTTTCTGAGGTAATAGCTGCTCCCCTTTGTCACATAACTAATTGTAGTATAACATCTGGTGTATATCCAGATAAATTAAAAATAGCTATAATTAAACCACTACATAAAAAAGACTGTAAGGATAAACTAACCAATTACAGGCCTATAGCTCTAACCCCAGTTTTCTCTAAAGTTATAGAAAAAGTAATTTACGAAGCTATTGACAATTTTTTAATAAAATTTGACATTCTATGTGACGAACAAATGGGATTTAGAAAAAATAGAAATGTTAACATGGCAATATATGACCTTTTAAGTAAAATAATGGTCAAGGTTGATAATAAGACGTCAGTATGTGCAATATTTACTGATATGTCAAAAGCATTTGACTATGTGAAACATGAGACTCTCATTGATAAACTTAACGCTTATGGAATTAGAGGAAATGTTTTAGATTTAATAAAATCATATTTAAGTGATCGTAGACAGTATACAGAGATAATTCGTATAAACGGAAAAAGTAAACGTGAAATAAAGTTTAGGTCTGATTATAAAGGCACAGTCTATGGTGTACCACAGGGAAGTGTGCTGGGACCCTTATTATTTTTAATATATATCAATGACCTTCCACGCCAAATTCAACAACCAATAGTTCATTTTGCTGATGACAGTACTGCAATAATTACGTGTGACGATAGGGATACATATGAACAGGAAATTAACAACACATTACACAAAATAGTAAATTGGTTGAATGCAAATAATCTGGTAATAAATTTACAGAAAACTACAGTAATGCATTTCTTCCAACGCAGAATGATAGACAAATTTTGCATTAAATGTAATGGGCAAGACATATAGGAAGTAAATGTAGCAAGATTTTTGGGTATTCTTGTTGATAGTCAGCTTTCATGGAAGCCGCAGGCAGAGAACATATGCAAGAAATTAAATAAATCTGCTTATGCACTCTTCCATCTTGCAAAAAAGGTAAACACACGCACACTGCTATTAGCATATCACGGTATGGTTTTCTCAGTGTTGAGATTCGGCATTATATTTCGGGGGAATTACACGGATAGAGATATGATTTTTAAATCTCAAAAACGCTGTATTAGAGCAATAGCGGGCTTATTAACTACGGACAGTTGTGTATCTGCTTTTAAGAATTTTAAATTATTAACTTTTCCGTGCTTATATATTTTGGAAATAGCAATGTTTCTTAAATTTAACAGACATTTGTTTAAATTATTTAATGACAGCAGAAAACGAACACCACCATTAAGATCACAATACACTGCATGTTATCGACGGGCCGATACAAAACTGCACTTCTAAGGAAAAGTGTATTGTGTATGGGGCCTACAATATATAATAAAATACCAGATGCATTGAAAAATTTGCCACTTCAACAATTTAAAAATAAGTTGACAGATTTTTGGTGGGGGAAAATGTTTTTACTGTCTAACGGGGTTTTTAAAAGATGCAATTTTTAATTTTTATATTGTTTTTTTTTTTATGACATTTTTGTGTTTTTTGACAAACAAAGATTTCTCATTATAATTTTATTGACATATGTAAAAGGTTTTAATACCCCAATTTTTATTTAATAATTGTTTTTTTTTTTTTATTATTATTATCTTAATTATTTACTAAACAGTCATAAATTTTTGTAAGAAATAAATTATTCACAATTTATTTTAAGATTTGTATGCCATATGGAAAGAAGTACCAGGAACTTACTTTACTTACAAAAACATCTAATTTGTATTTTTACCTACATTTAAACAAATAAAGTTGATTGATTGATTTAAATAGTCGCAATATTGCTTTGGGATCGGAGCTGCAGGAGCGAAGCACCCCAAAGACATCACTCGGCCCCACCCCTAAACCAGGCATATGTTCGGATAATAAAGAAAAAACTCCTACCAGCCAACACGAGTCCTATCAGTCAACAAAGGATCAGGGTGTGATAAAGAGCGGAGTATGCAGACGCTGGGCGACAACTCGTCTCCAAAGGTTGACTTCGGTACGAAATGCAACTGTGAGGATGGAGTTACGGGCAATGCGGGAAGACCTAAAGCAAAGCTGAGGGGAATCCCGCCTCAAAGGGGGCTGACCTTTCGCCAATCAGTATCAGCCTGTAAGAAGAAGGTTCATAATCTGGAGAACCGCTTGGACCAGATTGAGAACCACCCGGCGGAGACCCCCCCACCACACTAATACGAGCAAACAATCAGTCAGTGAAAAACCCATGCTCATGAAAGGGAGGAAGACCTGCTGCTATCTGACGTGGAGATTTCCAATTTGCCAGAATGCGCATGGGAAAACGTGATAAATACGGTCGAGTTGCTAGCCAGGAAGTTAGGTGGTACCACTGGAGGCGGGTGAGGGGGCAATGGGCACGAGGTGCCGGCGCGTCGTGGTTCAGCTAGCACAGCGCGGATTGCGCGAGAGTTGCTGAGGGAAAGGCGCAGACGTCACATCGCTGACCTTAAAACCCGGATAGGCCCCCAAGACGTCTTACCTCAACAAAAAGCTGACTCGTAGCAAGCAGCTGTTCTTTTTATTCGACAAACTGCTACTACCTTGGGGGGAAGTGTGCGTGGACCAAACACCGTAGAATGTCAAGGGGAAACGATGGAAGGCCGTGCTTATACCATCCGCACGGAGCCGGACATCAAACGTGTATTTGGTTGTGAGACGTCAAGACAGGAAAAATATAGTATGGAAAAAATCTATACGCAAAATGTTTTTTTCTATAGGATTAACCTAAAAAATTTCTCTCTGGAATTCAAA